GTAGTCGACCGCGGTGTGCGTCCCGACCCGGTGGTTTAAACTCACGCCAGGGGGCTTGAGCGTGCCCAAGATCCCGAGAGGAGAATGGAGGAGAACAGATTGCAGCGTGGCCATCCCCCCGGGGAGGGGGTGTGTGCGATTTCTCCCTTTCTGTCTCTTTGTCTCTGTCTTTCTGGCAAGTGCATGCTCCCTATAGCAAAAACCTCTCTCAAATTAAAAAAAAAAAAAGAACAAGGAAGCTCGGGCTTCCGTGTAGTGAGAAGAGCTCAGATTTAGGAATGAGAGCCTGAGTGTAAAGCCCAGCCCTGCTACTTACTAGCTGTGTAATCTAGCGAGTTGCTGCCCTGCCCCAGGCCTTTCTCCTCCGTAGGAACAGACGAAAACACCCACACTTTCCAGGGCTTTAGCTTTCCAGGTTTTATAAGACTCAAAGCAGGGACAACAGTGGCAGGATGGTTACAGTTTGAATTCTGGACCTGCTGACTTGAAAATCAGACCAGGTGCGTCTGTGTGTCTGTGTGTGTGCCCAAAATCCCAGGAGGAGAATGGAGGAGGAAGGTTTGCAGGTGGCCACCCCCCTAGAGGGTGATTTCTCACTTTCCCCCTCTGTCTCTTTCAGGCAAGTACATGCACCCTATGGCAAAAACCTTTAAAAAAAATAAAATTTTTAAAAAAAGAATTCAAAGCACAAAGTTGACATTTGTTCAACAAGTTTATTGAGACCTCCTGGAGGTAGAAGACAGACGAGTTCAGTTCTCGCAGTTAGAAGTGCTTTGAGGCAGGAGCCCGAGGGGGGTGGAGTCAAAACCTCAGGACAGCGGCGGGGCAGTGCTAGCCTCCCAGGGGAGATGCGCGGGAACCTCCTGGAAGGCATTTGCCCAGACCCAGCCGCATCCCCTGGGCGCTGGAGCTCACTGCAGGCTGGCCCACTGCAGGGAGGTGTAGACCACCTTACCATCAGCCTGCGGGGAGCAGAGGAGCAGGGTCTTTCTGACGCTGGTTCCGAGACGGCCTGCAGAGACCAGGTCCTGGAGTGGGATGGGGTCCTCGGGGCCCCAGCACTGAGCAATGTAGTGGGCGTGGAACCGGAGCGGGTCACCTAGGGAGGGAGAGAGGCACCGCAGCTGACCCAGGGGGGGCAGAGCTGGCGGGGTGCGGGCTTGCGCCAAAGGGGACATGGGTCGCTCTGGCAATCACTTCAGGTACTTTAAACCGTGGGGCAGGGCAGTGCTGCAGCCCTGGAGGGTAAAGGTCTGCGCGGCTGAGCCCCGCGGGACGTTTCCAGGCTGCATCTGGAGACCTCCCTGGGCATGCTGGGCACACGCGGGCCACGACCCAGGTGGGCTGGGAGTCAAGGTCCTGCTGGAAGTGCTGTCTCTCTTTCTCACTTGTGGAGAACATAATTTATTTTTGAGGAATTTTTGCTACAGGGCATGTGCACTTGCTCAAGAGACAGCGAGAAATCGGCCCCTTGGGGTGACAATGACACGGCAATCCCTTCTCCTCCATTCTCCTCTCGGGATCTTGGGTGTGTGCGTGCACGTGCGTGTATACACACACACACACACACACACACACACACGGCATGAGTTTTTAAGGTTGCCAGTTCCAGGACTTGAACTGTAGTTGACTATATGGGAGTCTAGAGACATAACCAATACGACATCTGCTGGTACTCCATTTTTTTTTAAATTTTTAATACCCTTGGAGGCCCAGACAGCAGGCGGCAGTTAGGGTAGCCCTCCGCACTGCTGCACCTCCGTGGAAAGGTCCTGGGTTCACATCCCAAGGTCTCCCTGTCAGTGCCAGGCAAGAGCATGTACCCACGACATCGCTGCCTGAGGCTGGGGGTACAGTGGGTGGCAGTGCCAAGGCTGTTGGGGTGCTCTCTCTATCTCACTCATAGGAAAAAATAAGGTAAACTTAAAAACAAATTCCTGGGGCCAGCAGTTGGCGTAATGGCTGTGTCGCTGGACTCCCATTTAGTCGACTGTGGTTCGAGTCCCAGACCTGGTGGTTTAAACTCATGCCGGGCGCATGTGCGTGCGTGCCCAAGATCCTGAGAGGAGAATGGAGGAAAAGGGATTGAGGCGTGGCCATCCCCCCTGGGGAGTGATTTCTCGCTTTCTGTCTCTCTACCTCTCTCTTTCTGGCGAGCTCACGCACCCTATAGCAAAAAACCACCTCTCCAAAAAAAAAATCTTTGGCCCCAGCCATTCCACTTCTAGGAATTTTAACAAATATGGTAGCACTAAAATATACTTTTAAAAAAATATTTAATTATTTATTTAATTTTATTCATTCATTCATTTTAATTTGACCAGAGAGAGAGAGAGGGAAGGTGAGAAAGCAAACTACCAGGTCCAGGACTCGAATAATGGTCAGCCATATGGCAGTATCCAGCACCTTAACCACCACGCCACCAGCTGGTCCCCTAAAATACAATTATAAAGATGTCTACTTTGGGGGACCATCAGGTGGTGTGGTGGTTAATGTGCTGGGCACTCCCACATGGCCGACCATGGCTCGAGTCCCAGACCTGGTCGCTTGCTTCCTCACTTTCTCACTCTTTTTCTCTCTCGCTCACTTTCTCTCTGGTCAAATGAAAATAAATGAATTAATAAATAATTCTTAAGAGATGTCTACTTTGATTTCAAAACAACATGTTATATACAATAAATCTATGCCGTTCTTATTTTTCAATTAAAATAAAGATGTTTAGGGCTGGCCTGTAACTGTGACTAAGCACTGCGCTGGCGCCCACATGGCTGACCACTGTTCGAATCCCAGTCCTGGTGGCTCAGAAAACACGCCAGGCATGTGTGCATGGGTGCTCCAAACCCTGATGGGATGAAGAAACGCAGAAAAAAGATCGTGGCGTAACCACGCCCACTGAGGGTGCTGTGGCTCTCTGGGGAGTGCGCGCAGCCTCGGACAGTAATAAAGGAGAGATGCTTACTTGTTATTCTTTGTCACTGCTAACAAACGGACTGGGTAAGCTCAGGGTGTATCCAGGCCATGGCTTCAATGTGTCCCCCAGAAATTCCTGTCTTGAAACTTGGGGAGCCGTTGCAATGGTGTTGAGAGCTGGGGCCCTCCAGAGGCGAGGAGGCATGAGGGTGGCCCCGTGGCTGGACGAACTCATCTTACGACAGAGCCGCGCTCCAGCCCCACTCTGGCCGAGCTGCCCGAGGCCCTGCGCCTCCTCTCCAACTGCACCTGCTGCACATGGCGCCCGAACTGGGGCTCTGCACGGGAGCCAAGGACCTCTACCCTGTAAGTGACCCGGGCTCGGGAGTTACATACTCTGTCGTCAGCAACAATTTTATACGAGAACGATGCATAAGACCTCATGTTACAATATACAAATACTGGGATTCTTAAATGGACCAGCTTGGAAAGGGTCAGTGATGGAAGGCAAGGAAAGGTGCAAGCTGACGTCGTCTTGTTTTGGAAGCTGGTAACTGGGGCCAGCTGGTGGCACAGTGGTTAAGGTGGCTGCACCCTACAAGGCTGACTGTGTGGTTAGTCCCAGACCTGGTGGTTTGAAAAACACGTACAGCAAATGTGCGAGTGTGCCCAAAACCCCGAGGAGGGACTGCAGTGTGGCCATGTCCCTGGGAAGTGATTCCTAACCTCCTTCTCTCACTGTCCACAATAAACACATGTGCCCTATAATAAACTTCAAAGCAGAAAGCGAAGGGCTGGCAGGTGGCATGATGGTCAAGGCGCTGGACTCCCACATGGCCAACCATGGGTCAAGTCCTGGACCTGGCAGCTTGCTTTCTCACTTTCCCTTTCTCTCTGTCACTCTCTGGTCAAATGAAAAAATAATAGTAACAAATGGAATTAAATAAATAAATGTTTAAAAAAGAAAGAAAGAATGCAAACCAGTAAATATGTCTTTATTATGGCTTATGAACCAGGACCATAAAGTCAATCTAAGCCACGGGGTCCTAAAAGGACTCAGAAACACCCACCGAGGAGTGGCTCTGAGAGATTAAGAGACGGACCTAACAGGGCAAGGTAAAGAAGAGATGGAGCGAGGGCCGACAAGATGCTTCTGCACAAGAGCCAGAACAGGTCGTTCGTTTCGTGGGCCCTGCTGCAAATACTCGGCTCAGCCTCTGCAGCACAACAGCAGCAAGAAGTGCTACGTCAACAGGCAGGGCTGCCTTCCAATGAAACTTCAGTTACAAGACCAGCTGATGGCAGGGCCGGCAAGTGGTGTGGTGCTTAAGGTGTTAGACTCCCACATGGCTAACCATGGTTCAAGTCCTGGACCTGGTGGCCTGCTTTCTTGCTTTCCCTCTCGCTCTCTGGTCAAATTAAAAATATAAACAATTTAAAAATAAAGTTAAATAGGGCACCAGCTGGTGGAGTGATGGTTAAGGCACTGGACACTCCCACACGGCATACTGCGGTTCGAGTCCTAGACCTGGTGGCTTGCTTTCTCACTTTCCCTCTCTATCTCTCTCTCTCTCTGTGTCTCTCTATGGTCAAGTTAAAATAAATGAATGAATATATAAAATTAAATAAATAATTTGGGGGGGGGAGTTAAATAAAAAAGAATTCTTAAGAAAAACAGTTGATGGGCTGGACTTGACCTGGGGTGTGGTAGGTCCCAGGATTAGGTGAGTCTGATCAAGAACAGGAATCTGAGCAGGGCACCAAGCAGAAGGTTAAATAACTGGCAAGTTAACCCAAAGGTGAGTATGAGAATCCCGCCTGAGGGGACTGCCACAGCAGGTGTAAGACAAGGCCCAGCTGGGAACTGCCTTCCAGCAAGACCCTACCTGGCCTAGAGCCAGGCGGGGACCCTGAGCCCCGAACGTCCGTGGTACAGTTCTGAATCTCCCAGGTGCTGAGCCTGTTCCTAAATCCCCGTGAGGTTAGACAGACCATGGCTCTCAGGTCTGCGAGGTCCAGTGGACAGTCCTGATGCACACAAAGCTCTGCTTCACCAGACGGTGCTGTCTCCCCACATGCTTTCTCATTTTCTCCCAGAGATTTCTGCTATTGGGCTCATGCGCTCACTAGAGAAACAGAGAGAGAGAGAGAGAGAGCGAGAGAGCGAGAGAGAGAGCGAGAGAGAGCAAGAGAGAGAGCGAGAGAGAGCGCGCAAGAAATCGCTCCCTGGGGGGATGGCACACCACAATCCCATCTCCTCCTTTCTTCTCTCAGGATTTTGGGCACGCACACAGCCATGCCCAGTGTGAGATGCAAACCACCAGGTCCAGGACTCGAACCAGAGCCAACCATGCAGAACCCCAGTGCCATAATCACTATGCCACTTGCTGGCCCTCTCCCCACGGTTTTTTTTTTTTGTTTGTTTGTTTGTTTGTTTGTTTGTTTTTTGAGAGGTTCTTGCTACAAGGCACATGTGCTCATCAGAGAGACAGAAAGCGAGAAATCACCCCCCAGGGGGCTGGCGATTTTGGAGGAAAGAAAGAGTTCATTAAAACTTTGTTTCATAAGACTTTTGTGTTTTTTACCTACTTTGTAATGTACATACAGGGAGATAGGCATAAATATGTAGATATGTATACGAAGTGTTGCCATACATAGAAAACTACAACGTTTAAATATTTTGAGAGGTTTTTGCTATAGGGCATTTGCACTCGCCAGAAAGAGAGAGACAGAGAGACAGAGAGCAAGAAATCACTCCCCAGGGGGGACGGCCACGCTGCAATCCCTTCACTTCCACTCTCCTCTTGGAATCTTAGGCACACACGCAAATGTGCCTGGCATGAGTTGAAGCCACCGGGTCTGGGACTCGAACCTCAGTCGACTACATGGGAGTTCAGTGCCATAGCCATTACACAAACTGCTGGTCCCAAGAGACACACTCTTAAAGGGCGATTTTCTGGGAACCAGTAGATAGTGTAATGGTTATGTCACTGGACTCCCACGTAGTAGACTGTGGTTCGAGCCCTGAACCCAGCAACTTAAAAACTCATGCTGGGCAGGGAACCAGCAGTTAGCGTAATGGCTATGTCGCTGGACTCCCACGTAGTAGACTGTGGTTCGAGCCCTGAACCCAGCAACTTAAAAACTCATGCTGGGCAGGGAACCAGCAGTTAGCGTAATGGCTATGTCGCTGGACTCCCACGTAGTAGACTGTGGTTCGAGCCCTGAACCCAGCAACTTAAAAACTCATGCTGGGCAGGGAACCAGCAGTTAGCGTAATGGCTATGTCGCTGGACTCCCACGTAGTAGACTGTGGTTCGAGCCCTGAACCCAGCAACTTAAAAACTCATGCTGGGCACATGTGCATGTGTGTCCAAAATCCCGAGAGGAGAATGAGAAGGGACTGCAGCATGACCATGCCCCCGGGGAATGATTTCTTGCTTTCTATCTCTGTCTTTTTTGACTCTGACGGGCACACACACCCTATAGCAAAAAAAAAAAAAAAAGGGCAATTTTCTTTTTTTTTTTTTTTTTTGGAGAGGTTTTTGCTATAGGGCATTGCGGCGTGACCATCCCCCCTGGGGGGTGATTTCTCGCTTTCTGTCTCTATGTCTCTCTCTGTCTGTCTGGCGAGCGCACGCGCCCTACAGTGAAAACCTCTCAAAAAAAAAAAAATTTTTTTTTTCCAGAGGGCATGTGCACTTGCCAGAGGGAGAAGAAAACAAGCCCGACGGGAGGTGGTCACACATCTTCTTCTCTTTCTCTTACACCTCCCAGGATTTGGAGCAGGTATGCGCCCACGTGTGCCCGGTGTGTTTCTTCAAGTCACGGGTGCATAGTCAGCCGTGTGGGACGCAGCCGCCTAACCACCACGCCATCGGCTGGCCTTCAAAGATCATTTAGGTGGTTCGTATAGGTCTGTACATGTCCACGCATATACAACTTGCTCGCTCTACCACGCGCCTTCCCTCCCCGTCACGCTTTCATAAACAGAATGTTTTTCCAAGATCCCCAGAGGAGAATGGAGGAGAAAGGGATTGCAGCATCACCATTCTCTTTCTGTCTCTTGAGAGAGAGACTTTTGCTAGAAGGCACGTATGCTCACCAGAGAGACAGAAAGCGAGGAGTCCCCCAGGAGGGGAGATGGCCACACTGCAATCCCTCCTCCTCCATGCTCCTCTCGGGGCATGAGTTTTAAGACACTGGGTCTGGGACTCGAACTGTGATGGACAACACGGGAGTCCAACAACATAACCATTATGCCACTGCTGGTCTCAGCTATGTTTCATTCTTAACATACTATATCCTCAATCATTTTGGCCATTTCACAATGTTGCCACTTCGATATTGGGGAAGACCCTGACATGAGTACCCCCGTGCTGTGTACACACACCCAGCTACTGGTCTCTGGGAAAGCCATGGCAACGGCATGTCCTTTCATGTTTTCCCACCACCCAATCTCTCTAAGTGAATTCTAGGGAAGTATTTAAAAGAAGTTCCTTAAGAGGCCAGCAGGTGGCATGGTGGCTACAGCACTGGAATATCCCACACCGCCAACCTTGGTTCAAGTCCTGGACCCAGTGGCTTGAAAAACCATAGCAGGTGTGTGTACATGCCTGCCCGAGACCCCAGGAGAAGAATGGAGGAAGAATTGCAGCATAGCCAATACCCACCTTGGGGAGGTGACTTCTCACTTTCTCTCACTGTCTCTGTCTCTCTCTCCAGTGAGTGCATCCACCCTATGGCAAAAACCTCCATGGACTCCAAATAAAAGAAGTTCCTTAAACTGCCTTCCAAGTGAGCTTGGGAGCTCTGGCCAAATGTTTCAGTGCTTCCGTGGGCGTCAAGGCAGGGAGAAAATGAGACACCAGGGAAGAAAGCAAAGGTGCAGGGGATGCTGGAAAACAGCACACACTCACCAGGGTAGACCAGGAAGTCGCCCCCGAACTTGCCGGCAGCACTGAGGAAGAAGCCTCGCTCCCACAGGTCTCTGTAGACGCTGTAGCGCAGCTCGTGGGCAGGGCGGCCGGCGTGGGGCCAGTCTTTGGACTGGACGCGCCAGTCCAGGGGCCTAGCCTTGGCAGGTCGAGGCCTGGCGGTGGCCAGCTGAACGAGCAGGGCAGACCTGGGCAGGGGGGCCACGCCGTTGGCAGGCCCTGGCTGGAGAGAGGCGGGGCCTGGGGGAGGCACAGAGAACACGGTTTGCAGAATCCCTAGAACGAGGCCTTCCCCGGGAGGAGCCAAGCCCCAGGTCCTCAACCAAAGTCCCCAGAGCTCCTTAGCCCCTCACCTGCTTCCTCGCGCTCTCCAGAAGGCTGGCCATCACCGGCCTCGCTCTCCAAGGCGGGTGGGCTCCCACCAGCCTCCGAATTCCGCTCGAGCTTCTGCTTCTTGGCAGCCTGTCCCTCGGCAATCTTCTCCAGGAGTTCCTGACGACGGGCCTCACGGGCCTCGGCTGCCAAGGCGCTTTGCTCCTGGAAGCCCTGCTCTTGCTGGCGCTTGAAGGAGGCCAGAGCCTAGGAAAGAACTTTAGCTGGAGCCCAGGGTCCTAGTCCCTACACCACCCGAACGCACTCTCCTACGACCCAACTTCCTGCCCCGGCGACCCCGGCGCCCTTACCAGGTTGTGCTGGCCAGGGTCCGGGCGCGGAGCGCTGACCAGGGTCACAGCACCGATCTCGGCCAGGAGCCGCGCCTCTTCGGGCATCAGCAGCAGCGGCAGGCCCAGGCGCGAGTTCTGGCGGGGCCCGCGGGGCAGGGCACCCACAACGCACTCTCCTACGACCCAACTTCCTGCCCCGGCGACCCCGGCGCCCTTACCAGGTTGTGCTGGCCAGGGTCCGGGCGCGGAGCGCTGACCAGGGTCACAGCACCGATCTCGGCCAGGAGCCGCGCCTCTTCGGGCATCAGCAGCAGCGGCAGGCCCAGGCGCGAGTTCTGGCGGGGCCCGCGGGGCAGGGCACCCACGGTGCGGCCCCCCACTCCCGCCCGGAGCCAGGCCGAATGCCGGGATCCGCCCTCGGAGGGCCCAGGTGCAGGGGCCTGGCCCCGCCCCCTGCACCTCCCCCTGAAAACCAGGCCCCAACCCCTGCCCTCCGGGACCCTCCTCCTGAGCCATGCCCCGCCCCGTGTCTGGCTCGTCCCCTGACAGCCAGGCCCCGCCTCCCGTGCACCGGGCTCCGACCCCTAATCAGCAATGGTTACGCGAGGCCCAGGCCTCGCCCCTGCCCAGCCTCCGGGGCTCCGCTAGGGCCCTCGCACCCCAGGCCAGCATGCCACAGCTGCCTGCTGTACCTCCCATCCCGCCTTCACCCTCAGAGAGAAATCTCCGCAAGAGCGCCTCCTCGCCCCCTTCCAAATGGCCATCTTGGGGCGGCAGGTGGCATGGTGGTTGCGGGTGCTGGACTCCCACAGGTCGACCGTGGTTCGAGTCCTGGACCTGCCGGCTTGCTTTCTCACTCTCGTTCCGTCCCTTTCTGGTCGAATTAAAAAATAAATAAGTGAAGTTAAATATTTTTTTCTTTATTTTAAATAAAGAAATGGTCATCTTGGTGCGTGCCTCTCGAGGAACGGGAATCTCCTTCGGGAGTTCCCGTCAGGGGTTGGGACTCCCCAAGGCCACACCCTTTTCGGGCTACTCGGACATTGGCCCCGCCCCCTTTCGACCCGCCGAGGTTCGAACTTCCGGCCTTCTCGTTCGAGTCAGATCCCTCTGACGAATCCCGCCCTTCCCGAGCGCAGGTGGTTCCGCGTTCGGCGTTCTCGGCTCCGCCCAACCGCAACCCCGCCCCTTCCCTACCGCACAAGGTTCGGCGTTCTGGCCTCGTCGGCCCCAGTCGGCTCCTGTCGAGCTCGCAACCTGCGGCCCCGCCCCCCGACCTCTCGCTCCCAGAGAGGGAGTCCCGCCCCTCCCCCAACCCGCCCTCTGTCCTCCGCTCCGGAGGGCTCACCTCTCGGCGAGCGCTCAGTCTACGAGCTACCTTCCCTTCACAATGGCCACGGTGCTCCAGTAGAACCAGTTAGTCAACTCCCAAATACCAACTGGCGGTCCAGACGGATGCACCCCGTATGTAGCGCGCCACGCGCCGCTTCCTCTCCCTTCCTGTGCAGACTCCACGCGTCAATTTCGTCATCCCGCCACCTCGGCGGAGCGGGAGGCCTGGGATCTGCTTGGCAGGGCCATAGCCCCGCCCCCGCCTGGGCACTCTGTCCCCGCCCACCATGGCGCACCTCCCTCCACCCGGGTCGCTTCGCGATTTGGGAACTCTAGCCCCGCCCCCTAGGCCCATGTTACACCCTGGGTTCCGCCTCTTTCCTATTGCGTCAGGCTGAGGCCCCGCCCCCTCTCCAAAAGGA